TTTATTAATTTTTCTCCACTGTCATTATGTTTCTGTCATTTTCTGTTTCAAATTCAAATGTCATTGGTTTCTGCTCTTATGTTTGTTTGGTTTTTCTTCTATCTTTGGGTTTTAATTTGCTCTTTTTAAAACAGTTTTTTAATTTTGATAGTATAAAATTAGATCACAGGTTTAGGACCTTTCTTGTTTTCTAGTATAAGCATTTATTGTTATAAATTTCCCAGTAATAACTGCATCTCACAAATTTTCATTGTTCGTATGTTTGGAACTTCAGTATGAATCCTTTATCTCCAAAGTATTTATTTACCATTCAAAGTACTTCCTGTTTTTCTTGTGATTTTTTTTTTATTTGACCAATGGATTATTTTGAGGTATATTGTTTAATTGCTAAATAGTTAACAATTTTTCATAAATCTTTTGTTACTGATCTCTAATTTAATTCTGTTATGATCAGAGAACATTTTGATTTCAGTCTTTGAATTTGTTGAGACTTCTTTACAATTCGGAATATATCTACTGTAGTATATGTTCTGTATACACTTGAAAGAATGTGTATTTACTGTTGCTGGATGAGGTACTCTGTAAATGTCAAGTCAATTATGTTGATAGTGGTTTTCAAATCTTCTTTATCCTTTCTGTTTTTTATCCATCTGTTCTATCAGTTCTTGAGAGAGGAATGTTGAAGACTCTAACAATAAATGTGAATTAGTCTATTTCTTTTTTCAGTTGCATTAGTTTTTTTCTTCATTATTAAGTTCCTGTCATTAGCTGCACATTTAGGATTGTTGTAACTTCCTAATTGCTGTGTGTGTTTCTATCTATAACTGTATACTTACATTTTCTTTACCTCTTGTGTTAAATCTTGTTCTGAAGTCTACTTTGTCACATATTAACATAGCTTCTCCTGATATCTTTTGATCAGTATTTGCCTTATATATAATTTTCTAGCATTTTACTTCTTAACCTATGTCTTTACATTTAAAGTATATTTCTTTTGCATAGTATATAGTTTGAGTTTTTATTTGTTATATAGACTGGCAATCCCTGACTTAATTGATTATTTAGAACATTTCATGCAATTTTGATATAGTTGGGTTTAAAGTTACCAATTTCTTTTTATTTTCAAATTGGAGAATCTCTTCTTTGTTCTTTTTATTTTTTTTCTGATTTCTTTTAAATTATTTGAATTTTATTATCATTTAGTATCAATTATTGGCTTATTAGTTGTAGTTATTTTAATTTTTATTGGTTTCTAGGGTGTATAATACACATCTTTAATTTGTCATTGTCTACCTCCCAGTCATATGTCAGTTCATGTATGTAGTGTGAATATGTTAAACCTTACCTTATATTTTAAATTGTTACTGTTACACACTTTAATTCTACATATATTATAAACTTCACAGTATAATGTTTCTATGCTTACCTTAGAAAGCCAATTACTTTATGAAGAGTTTAAATTTTTAAAAAATTACATTTTACGTTTGCCCACATTTTTACTGTTTCCATTCTTCATCATGTACAATTTTGTATTGTGTGTATGAGTGTGTGTGTGCTTGTGTTTTTGCATGCATACGCAGTATCTAAGTTTCTGTCTGGTATCATATTCCTTCTGTTTGAAGAACTTCTTTAAGTATATATAGTCTTCTCACAGGGAATTCTGTCAGTTTTTTGGCTGAAAAAGGTTTTTATTTTAACTTCATTTTGAAGACTTACCTCCTTTCGCTTTCAGTATCATAAAGATATAATTGTTTATGTTCTGGCTTGCATAGTTTTGATTAGAAGTATGCCATAATTCTTATCTTTGTGCCTCTATCTATGTGGAGATTCCTCAAAAGACTAAAAATAGACTTATATGATCCAGCAATCCCACTCCTGGACATATATCCAGAGGGAACCTTAATTCAAAAAGATACATGCACCCCAGTGTTCATAGAAGCACTATTTACAATAGCCAAGATATGGAAGCAACCTAATGTCCATCGGCAGATGACTGGATAAAGAAGTTGTGGTATATTTATACAGTGGAATACCATAAAAATAGTAACACCATTTGCAGCAACATGGTTGGACCTGAAGACTGTCATTCTAAGTGAAGTAAGCCAGAAAGAGAAAGAAAAATACCTATGATATCACTCATATTGGAATCTAAAAAATAAAGACAAGCGAACTTACTTACAAAGCAGAAACAGACTCATAGACATAGAAAACAAACTTACGGTTACCAGTGGGGAAGGGGATAGGAAGGGATAAATTGGGAGTTAAAGATTTGCTGATACTAACTACTATATATAAAATAGATAAACAACAGGATCATACTGTATAAAACAAGGAACTATATTCAATATCTTGTAAATAACTTACAGTGAAAAAGAATATGAAAATGAGTGTGTGTATATTCATGTATGACTGAAGCATTATGCTGTACACCAGAAATTAACACAACATTGTAAACTGACTATACTTCAAAAATATATATATATACACACACACACACACAAAAACACAAAACAAAATGTAATTGTTCTTATCCGTTTTAATGACTGCCATTGTTTCCTCCTGTGTTCATAGAGATCATTGGTCTTATCTCTCCCCAGAGAGACTTGTAATTTTTAGAATTCAGTTTTCTCGCAACTTCAGGCATTCTCTTGGCTCAAATACAGAAGTAATATTTTGTAAATTATTTGACTCCTTACTGCTAGGTGGGAACACTGTTCTGTTGTGACTTTCTACATCCTAAGGAGAAACCAGACTCTTACTTTTTCAGTCCTGATGGTTTTCTTTGTGGCTTTTTCTCCTTTTTATTTTGCTCTATATTTTGTTTGTTGTCTTTGGCTTCTTTTTCTTTCATTCATGATCTTTTCTTGCCATAGATTTCTCTGTGTTATTTATATTTTCAAGGAACCGGCTTTTGGTGTTGTTAATACTGATTTTATTAGTTTTCTCTATCTCATTGACTTATGCCTTCATCTATATTATTTATTTTCGTATTTTTTGCTTATATTTATTAGAATGCTGCCCTCCTAGGTTTCAGTTTTGGTTTTTCTCTAGTACATGTATTTTAGTAAAGTTCTCTCAAAGGAATGCTTCAGCTGTTTACCACAAATTTTTGACATGCAGTATTTGCACTATTTTCAGCTTCATTTCTAATTGTGTTTTTTTGTCCATGTGAATTCCTCTTTGACTTAAGAATGATGGGCTTATGGTACTTATTTTAACTATTTAAATATTTCTAAATTCTCATTTTATGGCATTTTGTAAAAAATCCCTATACTCTTGAATGTGGGAATATACTGACTCATTGTTTGTCTGTATGGTCCAAGATATAAACAGTCCATATGTTCCCAAAAGAAAATATAATCTCTCTCCAAGGTTTTATAAATTGATGTCACTGACTATGTTACTTAAAACTCATCTAATAAAGTTTTATGACCTGTATTTTATTGATAACAAATACTGAGCTCAGAAATTTTGGGACATTTATAGAATTTTATTGACTGTATATATATATAAAAGCCCAGATAAAACCAAGTCATTCTATTCACTTGTAATTCAAAATTGTTTCTGCTGTATTAATTATTATTTGAAACCAGAGTAGTACACAAGATATAGCACTAAAATATTCTAGAACTTTAAAAGATGAATATGACACCTCAGTCAAATTTAACCTAAATAAAAATTAGTCAGTCCCTTTTACAAACTATTCTTGGTAGGTGTTACAGTTGCTTAATTTCAGGGCTTTAATGGAGGGGACTCAAGCATTATAAAGTAATTAGTCTTATATGACCTCTAAGGGACTTTTGTATTCTGAGACACTATGATTGTAAGAACAGGGATATTTTAATTATAGCTGTTTTTTCTTTTTCTAATTAAAATGATTGGGAAACCAGTACCTAGAGTTGCTACAATATATTGTCTAAAATGTCCAGTTTCCATTGAAAATTTATGGGACATGCAGAGAACCAGAAAAGTATAACTTATCCATTGGAAAAAGGGCAGGCAACAGAAACTGCTTGTGAGAGCAACCAGATGTTGGGGTTAACTAAAACAGACTTCAAAGTAGCCATTATAAAGATGTCCAATAGCTAGAGGAAAACATGATTCAATAATTAAAGAAGATATGACAACAATGTGAAGTCAGATACAGAATGTCAGTAAGATACGGAAAAAGCAACCAAATGGGAATTCTGGGGTTGAAAGTATAATAATTGAAATAGATTCACTGGAGGCATTTAATATTAGATTTGAACTGGTGGAAGAAGGAATTAGTGAAACTAGAGATAGACTGAGAGACTATGCCCTCCAAAGAGCAGAGAGAGGAAAGAATGAAGGAAAATGACAGCATCTCAGAGAAATATGGGGCACTAGTAAGGACAACATACGGATAATGGAAAGGCGGAAGAAACACCAAGAGGGCAAGAAGCAGAAAAATATCGAAAGATATAATGGCTGAACACACTCCAAATTTACTGAAAAACAATAACCTACATGTCCAGGAAGCTCAGTGAACTCCAAGTAAGGTAAATGCAAAGAGATACTCAGGTTATAAACAAAAAAGCACAGTGTTACTCATCAACCAGTTATATAAGGGTTAAGTTGCAGCCCACTGACCGCGCACCCTGAAGGAAATTGAGGATGAAAAAACAAGATGAGGCACTCATGAGGCCCCTAGGTAGTGAGATGCATATCTCAGGAAAAATTTTAATAATCCCAGATTCTTACATCTTCTCATATATAGAAAAGCACTGGTCATTAACTTGAGATGTCTGTTCTTTGTGACTAGCAGTAATACTAATCTTTTCCCAAGGTGTGTGCTTGACTGTATGTATTTCCTAGACAAAAAAAAAAAAAAAAAGTCACATATATACTGGCTTATCTCCTACCTCTGTGCAGCAGTTTTCTGAGAGCTTCTGAGTGGTTGTCTTCTAGGCCATAGTCTCAGTAAAACCCTGAATAAAACTTAAACTCACAACTCTCATGTTGTGCATTTTCTTTGACAGTTTTGGCAACCATGAAGGGACCCAGAGCAGACATGTCTGAACTCTACAATAATCCAGAGTCTTGGTATCAGCAAGGTTCCTTTGTGCCCATCCACCTCCTCAGCAAGTCCAGACGACTCGGTAAGTGTCTTCTGACCTCAGATCTTCCATCTTAGTTGACAATCTTGACTTGTATTTGGCGATTAGTAAACTCCTCACTTTGAGAAGCAGGTTTCCGTGAACTTAAGGCAGTTAGGAAGAGGTACTTCAATTATCAGTTGAAAGACACTGGGAAGCTTTGGACTGGATGATTAAGTAGGGGGCTGCCCTGGTGTCTTTCTTTGAATTGGCTACTTTAACAGAGTTTGTCAGAACAAGAGTGAAGGTGCCGTATCAGAGTTTTTAGTTACAAAGGTAAGAGACACTGCTACCCCAGCCTGTTACAGCCTTCTCGGGCAACTGATAAAGTTACAGGAGTGTTAGAGCCAAGTCCTCATACCATGCAGCAGTCCCAAAAGGAAACGTCATTAATTTAAAAAATCACTCTTCTAGGGATACACACATAAGGATTGACCATCCAGTGCTCGGAGTGCTAGCAAGGTTTTAGACTGCCAGAGGGAGGAACTGAGACAGGTAGAAGAGCTGAAGTGACTCAAGGTAACACGTAGAGGAGTTAAGCTTCCTCTGCCTGGTATTATAAACCAGCATATATATGCCCCTCAGGCAAGGTTAATTAAACATGCTAATGGGAACCAGTAGGATTACCTGAGTCCACACTGCATGAGATGAAAACTGAGGACTAATATTCAGAGGGTAGTAGAAACAATAATGGAGACTTCTACCTGTAGCATAAATTGGTCTGGGATTGGGAAAAGGGCCTTTTGCTGAATGCCTTGTGCAAACTTTTGGAAGGCATGATGCATCAAACCCCAAAGTCCTAGAACATAGAAATCTTTTCACAGATAAAAATAAACAAATGTTTGAAATGTAATTGGGCAGATCAGTCCTTTGATACCATTTAGGCAGCACCCCAGTTTTGTGGGGAATTAAAAGCAACTGTCTTTGTCTTGCAAATCTCTGCAAATCATAAACGTAAATACAGCCCATAATAACCTGGTCCTGAGACTAGTTAACTCAAACAGGTGGAACCTGTGAAACCAAAGAAAAAAAGGAAAAGAGGCCCTTTTAAAAGTACAAACTGCTGGAATGTCTCCCTCACCCAAAATCTAATTCACAAAGAGTTCTTTTTAATTAGCTTTAAAGTAAGCAATTATGAATGAAATATTTCTAAATTTATTAAAAATTAACCCAAATGTTTTTTCAAGTTCACAATATATAAGATTAATCTTTAGTAAATAAAAGCAAATTTGAAGTTATTTATTTAAATAGGCATGTCTTTAGTCTTATTAACATTAGATATAAATCTTCTATTCTACCTGGATTTACCAGTCAAATAAGTTCATGTTATCTCTGTTACAAAATTTGTCCACAAGAAAAATCACTTGGGATGATGTTTGACTCTCTCTAATGTTTCATGAAGTTTCCGTGGGCAATCTAAATATAATTCTGGGAACAAGTTAAATAAATGTAAATGGGATGAGAGTTTTTAGTGAACTCTTTAAGAGTGATTATGTTTTTTGGTATATTTACTTAAAAGTAGTTTCTCCAAACATTTTTGACAACTTGAAACTTGAGTTTTACTAAATTAAGTTAAATGATGGGAATTTATTGAATATCTAGATCATTCCCAAATAAAATAAGATACTGAAACATTCATTTTGCCTTGAGAGAATGATCTAAGAAAATATTTCTGCAATTTATGTCAAATAATGTTTCAGCTATGTTCTTTTTGAGGCATAAAATGCCTCCAAAGCCTTGAATTTATGACCAAAATAGGGGAGACTGTGAAGAAAGAACAGTGCTACCCATCAACCAGCTACACAGTGGGTAAATTGCAGCCCACTGCAGTTGCTCACCAGGAGTGCACCCCGTGGGGAATTCAGGATGAAAAGCAGGATGAGGCACTCTGTGCTTTGGGTAAAGGTCCCCTAGACAGTTAGACGCTTATCTCAGGAAGAATTTCGACAATCCCATTTCTTACATTTTCCCATACATAGAAGAGCACTAAAATCAATAACTTGAGATATCTATTCTTTGTGATTAGCAGTCATCTTTTATCAAGACAGGTGCTTGACTACGTGCATTTCCTAGCCAAAAAAAAATCATATATATGATATTTTTGGCTAGGAAATGCATGTAGTATATGTATATGTATGTGTGTGTGTGTGTGTATATATATATATACATACATACATATATATATACATACATACATATATATATATATATATATACACATACATACATATATATATAAAGATAAAGGTAAAGGTAAAAGCAAGTATATATACATATATACTGGCTTCTCTCCTACCTCTGTGAAGTAGTTTACTCAGAGCTACTGACTGGCTATCTCCCAGGCCATAGTCCTCAGTGTGGCTCTGAATAAAACTTAGCCTCACAATTCTCATGTTGTCATTTTTCTTTATGTTGAAAAGACTTAAGAGTAAAAATGCTGAAGTTGAGAGATAAGGAGAAAGTCTTTTTTATATAAAATGCCCAGGAAAGGCAAGACAGAAAATAAGTTAGTGTTTTCTTAGGGTTGGTAAAGGAGAAGCAGAGATAGGGAGGGGGATGGCTAAAGGGCACAGGGTTTCTTTTTTGAGGTAATGAAAATGTTCTAAATCCCAGTGATGTTTCTTCATATCTGTGAATATATGAAATAATAGTGTACACTTGAAATGGGCACATTTTACCTTTTATAAATTACATCTAAGCAAACTTTTTAAAAGTACTTACATCTATACAAAGACCTGTATGTAAATGTTTATATAAACTTTGTAATTTATAATCTTGAAAAACTGGAAACAACCAAGACGTCCTGTAACAGGTGAAAGAATAGTCTATGTTTCATCCATAAATGGAATTGTGTGCAGCAATCAAAAAGGAAGAGCTATCAATTTACTTAATAACACGGACAAATCTTACAGGTATTTTGCTTAGTGAAGGAAGCCAAACTGCAAAAGCTACATTTTGTACAAAATTCTATTACATGGCATTCTTTCAAAGGAAAAATTATAGGGATGTAAAACAAATTGGTGAAAAGTACATCAGGGATGTTGATCAAGATGGCAGCACAGAAGTCTTCTGAGCTCCCTTCCTTCCACAGACACAAAGAAGGTGCAGCTACACATGGAGCAGTTCCCTCCGAAAAAGATCCACAAACTGGCTGAGATAACTCCTCCTTACCGGACGAATGAGAAAATACCCACATCTAATTGGGTAGGAAAGTCTGTCACCCTAAACTCTGACCTGCACCATACCACCAGTACTAGACAGTCCGGAGGGAACCTCCCAAGACCAGCTTCTCCCTGAGTAGCAAAGGGTGTGGGCCTCATATCTAGCCCCAGCTTTTAAGACTCCTACTGGAGGGAGGGGCTCCCCGAACACCTAGCTTTGAAAGCCAACAGGGCTTGTGTCCACAAGCCCCACAAGACTATAGCAAACAAAGAAGCAGTTCTTAAGGAGTGACGAGCAATACACCCCAGAGCAGTCCTCCCAGGGCTCAGTGCAGAGTCAACAGGCAGAACTGCCCATCTGCTAGTCTTTCCCTGAGTTTATCTGCATACTTTAAACACTGCTGCTTGAGGACCAGGCTTCTAATTTAGCAGGCACTAGGGGTTGGCTGTAATCCTCCCTAGACACCAGTGATACTGGTGGACACCTCTCCCTGAAACCCACTCCAAGTCACCAGTAGCTTCCTGGAAGGAGCTTGTATACACATCTGTGCGCCAGCTTTATGATTGCCACACAACTGATGGATATCTGTCTGGATCTTCTGGCTCTGATAGCCAAAGAGACTTCCACTTTTGAGTCCCATAGGACTATAGCCGACAAAGAAGCAATTTTAAAATGGTTATCCTCATAAAGCTCAGTGTAGAGGGAACAAACAAAATTGCTAATCTCCCAATCCCAGGATGGCTATCATCAAAAAGACAGGAGACAGCAAATGCTGGTGAAGATGTGGAGAAAAGGGAACACTTGTGCACTGTTGGTAGGAATGTATATTGGTATAGCTGCTATGGAAAACAGTATTCAGGGTCCTCAAAAAAGTACAGATAGAACTACCATATTATCCAGGAATCTCACTTCTGGATAAAAGGCCAGAGGGAATGGGAAGAGATATCTGTACTCTGATGTTCGTAGCAGCTTTCTTCACAAGAACTAAGCTATGGAATTATGGAAACAGCTTTAGTGTCCTTTGTTGAACGAACGGATAAATAAAATGTGAGATATCTATATATAGATTTAGAGATAGATAGATAGGTAAGACAGACAGACAGAGGAACATTATTCAGGCTTTAAAAAGAAGGAAATGCTACAGTTTTCAACAATGTGGATGAACCTGGAAGGCGTTATGTTAAGTGAAATAAACTAGAGAGAGAAAGACAAATCTGCATGGTATTGTTTGTTTATATGTGGGGGGAAAAATGGTTAACTGATGAAAACAGTAGAGTGTTGCCAGGGGCAGGGGATGGGAAAATAGGGAGAAGTTGGTAAAAGGGTACAAACTTTCAGTTATAAGATAAATAAGTTCTGAAGATAGTTGATAACACTTATTGTATAATTGAATTTTGCTAAGAGAATAGAATTTAAATGTTCTCACCCCCTTAAAAATTAAGGAAAAAAGTAAGTAAGGTGATGGATACGTTAATTAACTTTCACAGTCTATCAATATATTAATCATCACATTGTATACTTTATTATACAATTTGTCTATCATACCTCAGTAAACCTGAAAGAAAAATAAAACAATTTGATATTGCCAGGTTGGGGGAAAGAGTAATAGTTGATTACAAAGGGAGTACATGAGGGAATTTCTGGGATGGGGAACTGTTCTTTATGATACTGGATTGGTGGATGTATGCCTGTATGAATTTGTCAACATTTTATTGTAAAGTTATCTGTATGCACATTAAAGATAGATAGATGATAGATAGATAATTAGATAGATAGACAGACAGACAGACAGACAGACATTTCAACATATATTAGTGTGTTGGGAAGTTCCTGG